GATGAGATGAGTTGTTTTTTATGCCTACCTTTCACAAAGTCATGAAAGATCTTAGTGTTGCTGTCCCCTCCTTTCAGCCATTTGATCCTTGCTTTTTGTTTCCAAAATTGTTTTTCCTGTTTATAAGCTAAGATCAGTTCAGCTTGTGCTCTATGCCAGTCAGCTCTATTAGTCTCATTATCATTCTCTTCATAATTTCTTTCTGCATTTATAACAAAAAGTTCACATTTCTGAACTTTTTCAAAGATATTGCCAAAGACCACAGAGTTTCACTCCTTAAGATCCTTTTTAAGGAATTTAAGTTTCAGAAAAAGACCTCTCATGCCCTGACCAAAATTGTGTGTTTCCCAGCTTTTACTTACAACCTCCAAAAAATTAGGATGGCTAGTCCACATATTAAGAAATCTAAAAGGCTTAGGACCTGTGTTAAGATCTGGCTTACATTTAAAAAGGATGGGGGAGTGGTCTGAGGATGTCTTATTGAGATATTGAATATGAATCTTGCTAAACATATTCTGAAAGTCATTGTTGACCAAGATCCTATCCAATCTCCTCCAGACCCTACCATTCCTCCTCACCCCTGTCCAACTAAACTGGCTGCCAATCCAAGGTAAGTCAGAAAGCTCACAATGAGCAATACAGTTGTTGAAATCTTCCATGGTGTCATAATTAGGAATGGAGTTTCCTTTATGTTCCACATAAGAAGTGATTGCATTGAAATCTCCACCAATAACCCAAGGCCCTAAATTATTATCATACCAATTATTGATAAAGTCCCAAAGATCTTTCCTTTCAAGCACTGAGCATTTTCCATAGACAGAAGTTAGCCAAAATGATAAGTTACCCCAGGTGATTTGACAATGCACCAATTGATCCTTCCAAGTAATGCTATTAATAGTAATTATTGAGGAATTCCAAAAAAGCCAGATTTTACCAGATGGTTGCATAAAACAATCTGACATATCAAGCTCCTTCCTCATATCTTCACCCTTAGCATTATCTACCAGAGGTTCCATGACTGCGGTAAAATGAATTCCCACTGCTTAATTAAACTAGCAAGTCTTGTGCAGGAGGAAACAAGACCCCTAGTATTCCAAAATATACTATTCATTGGGAATCAGACAAAGAAGCTTGTGAAAGCCTTTTGGCTGCCTGCCTGGTAAGTATAGAAGAAGCTTCCGGGGGGACCTTGGGTTGTCTTTTTTTCCTTGCTACTTCTATAAATCCTTCATTGATATCTGGTATATGTATGTTTGATCTATCTGTATTTCCATCATGTTCATTGCCAAACTGAGCTTGCAATAATTCTTTTTGTGTAACAATGTATGCTACTTTGTTTTGTAAGGAAGGTAATTCTTCAATCCAATCTGCTTTGTGAGCAATCTGTTGTGGACTGTCGCCTTCAGTAGCATAGCCTCTATCAAGTACTGAAGGATCAGATTCCAGGCTAGATCTAATGTGATGAAGTCTGGAGTCATCAGAGGGAGCCTTAACATCAACTTTACTTGATGGCACAAGCCCAGGAACTTCCATATTCAAGAGTTGCTTGGTTGAATAAGGTTTTTTTGTAGCTGCATTCTCTATGCACCCTTCAATAATCTGATCTGCTTCCTTATTAGAGTTTACCTCTTTATTGCTTCCAACAGCTTTTGATGAGCCCGCCACAGTGATTGATGTCTGCTTTCCAGTCACATTAGATGTTCTTGCCCCAGAAGATAATGCCAGTTTAGTTGAGGGTGGCTGCTCCATAATTATTTCTTCAACCTCAGTATCCGAGTCTCCCAAGACCTGAGGAGAGCTAGATTTGTTCATTTGCCCTTTACCTTTGTCCTAAGCAGTGTGTAATTGACCTTTACCTTTGTCTTCAGATATGCTTTTGATCTCAGTAGTAGCCTGGGGTTTAGCAACCCATAATTCCTTTGTTGTAACATGTGATGGTGCTGGTTGTTCTCGTTTGGGACAATTAGCCTCTGAATGTCCCAAATGAAGACAATTAACACATTATGAAGGCCTTTTCTCATAGTATACAGGTTGTGCAAAACCAGTAGCTCCGCAATTAATCCAGATTCGATTAGGCATCTCCTTTGTTAGGTCCAATTCCACACAGATGCGTGCAACTGAGGGCCTGGTTAGGTTTGTTGTGGCAATATCAAGTTTAATAGGAGTACCTATTAAATTAGCAATTTCAAACAAAGCCCTTTTGTCATGAAGATGTATAGGCAAGCCTTCAAACGCAAGCCAAACGGGAACCACGGGTGATTCCACATTTGGCCGAAAGTCCGGGGTCCATTTAGTAACTTTCATTGTATATCCATGTATGTTCCAGTTTTGGCGATTCCAACAACGTAAATAGTCTTCCTCCATATCAAACCTGATCAATATATGCTTCTTTTCAATTAAACCAAGTTGAAAGTTACCTTTGAAGCCAATGACTTCAAAAGCCTTGCGTATAATCTCCATACTTGGCCGTCCCTTATAGAAAAAGCCAACTAACGAAAGTTTGTGTCTCTCAGCAAGGTTTTGAACATCACTGTCAGGAAAAGTAATAGATGACAATCCTTTAAAACGCGAGTGTGTCACCGATAAAGCACTGGTAGAACGATTAGCCACCACATCTGCAAAAGTTTTTCCTAACCAAAGGTTAGCTGCCGGCGGCGGCTGAGCAGCACTGTTAATGTATATGTACATATGAATCTTATATACACAAATATACAATATTACTTATCATATTTATGCGAAAATATAGATAAAAATGCAATTTCTTTGTCTCCGGCTAGTCCCCGACTAGGCGCCCGCCTAGCCGTCTGGGCGCTAGGCGTTGGGCTGACGCTCGACTATCGCCTAGCACCTTTTTGAACATTGCTCCATTTCTTGGACCAGTTAGCATAAATATGCCTAGGACAATACCTGTGCTCTGCATCAGGTATAATCTCTTAAGCTGCATTATTAAACCCTTCTGCATGTCAGAGATTAGGGTTAACTCAGCACCAGGGTGAAGCTCTAGTTCTTGAACTAGTCAAGAGAGAAACCATCTCCAGTTAGACTTGTTTCCTTTGTCTATTACAGCTCAAGCAATTGGAAACATTTTGTAACACCCCGGCCTCATGGGATCCGAGGTAGTTACTTCGGACCTCTAGTACTGTCCTCACAAACCACCACGAGCATTTACCGCGCACTTTGTCCTCACTCATGCGCGCCCTGAGAAACTTCTCAGGGGGTCACCCATCCCAAGACTACTCCCGTGCAAGCACTCTTAACTTTGGAGTTCTTGGGTGATGAGCTCCCTTAAAAGGAGATGCACCTCTGTTGGTATGAGTAGTACTATTAATCCGTTTATATTAAATCTCAAGTGTTACACATTTTCTCATCTCCATCCACACCTACTGCACTGAGCAAATTTCCCTTGCAAACTCCCTTTAAAAAGCAATCATCAACCCTAATTATTCTTCTACAACCAGCCATCCAGTTTCTCCTCAAATCATCAAAGCAAATAAACATTCTTGTAAAGACTTTCCTCCCATCTCTCAAGGATTGATTGCACAGTTCAATTTCAGCTTTAGATCCAGGATTGCTTCTCTTTATAGTAGCAGCATATGCCTCCAGGTAACCAAACTCTGCTTTATAGCTCACATCGAACTCTTGAAGGATAAGCCTTTTGGCCCTCTTGCATTTGTACAAGCTCACATTAATTAATCTTAAGAACTTTCTTAGCCTCCTCTTTCATTTCAGCAACCCTAAAATTTGGATTTTTTTGTAGGTGGGCTTTAAAGTAATTTGCTAGCCATTTCTGAGAAGCACTGGGGATGGAAAAGTGTCTGAAACACTTGTGGTCTAGATTGCAAACTTTAACTGTCAAGCCAGAATTCTTCCCATCTTTAGATATCCACAATCTGAATGGGCACCCTTCCTCATTGAGACATTTTACAACCAACATGTTCTTCTCATTGGGTTTGATTTTAAGCTTGTAGCCAAACTTCACACCATAGTCTGCAATGGCAGTTCTAGCCTCATGGACATCTTGAAATGTCATCCCAAGAACAAAGCAAATAGATCCATCTGTGGCAGTTTAGTTAACCCTCACTTCTTCATCACTATCTTCTGCTTCCTCTTCTTCATTGTTACTGTCAGAATCTTGTGGTTCCTCTGCAGCTTCCCCATCACTTACATAACCATTTGGCACCCCTCTACTATTACTTTCAGGGGGAAGTACCCCATCAATATGTTTCAGGGCTTTGGTTACTCACATTCTCACTGTGGTCGTTTTGAAAATAAGACCATTCTATTTGGGGGATGAGAAGGGGCTCGTCCAGTTGATGATCAGCATACAACTTTATATCATCAATCCAAGAAAAATTCCTAATCCGATTCAAAACCTTCCTAATTGTGTCATCATCTTGAACTAAAAAGAGCCCATTGTCCAAATCTTTTCCGGGTACCAACACATATATGTTTTTCAGTGTTATGAAACCCAATTCCTCTTTGTAAGTTCTTTGAATATCATGAAAGCACAGAAAGCCAGAATCAAACCTATATATTGTATGGATGTCCCCATCAACATATTTCAATTTCGGGTGCAAAATCCATCTCCCACTGTGATTAAACCACAGGTTGACCAACTCACTCATTCTTTACAAGGAAAAGAAGATAAGTACAATGAATACCTTTAAGCGTGAGTGTCGATTCCAAAATGAGACCCTAAGCACTCCCTGTCAGTCACGTACGTACGAAAGTAATCAATCTTCTTCTAGGCACACTCAATTTCAGGCAGATAAATTAGGGTTGTCAATTTTTGTTGGGCAACATTTAATTGAGGGGGGATGTTAAGGACAATTGGACTGCTCGAATAGGGAGTGGCCAAATGTAACACAAATAAGTGGATTATGTGTTTAAATGGTTCACTTTAAACTTCAGCGTCCAATCCGAAACTACTAAATAATGTCAGTGTCATTTTTGGCCCTTTTCCCTTTACGTAATTTCATTCACAAATTACAAGAGATGGTAAAATATGTTGTCAAATTTTGCTAATGTAGCATGAATATTTCCAATACGAGTAAATAGCTCAATTGTACAGGCCCTTTGAAAATTCATTTTTTTTGCTCTACAGAAAACACGCAACCTGTAAAACTCACCCAAAGGCCAAAACTACAAGAAACATATGAAAATAATTTTCTAATCTATACCGCTATACGTGCGCATTTGATCCAATGCAGCGCCATAATTCTATTGTCAGCTTCTATAATAATAATTTATATAAAGCACATCTCAATTTTTCTTCTACTTTTGTAAAAAGAGAAGACTCCACCATCATTGTTGAGCCTACTCCACATCCTAGGAAACGTGATCTTTGAGGAAATTTGTAATACGTGCAAGACATATTTCGGGCCTCTTCAATTGTGAATATCTTCAGCCCTACACTGCAAGCAAACTGCCCGGCTGACCGATTCTGGGGCCCTTGTGATGGGGTGCATCCTTTTGAAAATCTTTAGCCTGATGTTTTTTTTCTAAGACAAAAGAAGAATAAAATGAGATATACATTACACCAACATCTTCCAGCTTGAGAAATCAAGTAGAAAAAATCAGGTCTTCTGTCATTCACTTTAACTCAGCTGTGTTTCAATGGTGCTCAACTTCTCCTAATTCATGAACCTCTTAAAAAATCAAATGGGCAAAGGGTAAAGGGGTTTATTTACTAGTAACCACCCTGAAGAGGATGCAAGAAAATTGGTTCTCATCTCTTAAAATAGACCGGTTTTGATACTCCAACTATAAAAAGTTTTCACTTCTACTCCACCTTTTTAGAGTTGAAGTTATGTAAGTGTCATTTTGAAGGATATATTTTGAAACGAAAAGAACATGGGTCGACAATGCAAGCGAAAGTATAACACTTCTGATGATTTCGGATTCTAAAAAACTAAAAAATTAGGTCAGCTTGAACCAGCAAACTAAAAAAAGGAAACTTATAGAGTAAAAAATATCTCTACTTAGGAATGATTTGGTAAATTATGATTGCAAGGATGGAAACTCTTACGGAGGACCAAAAGTGGAAACTTCTAGATGGTTGGAATATAAAAACTAGACAATTTTAAAGACCGAAAGATGAAAATGGGAAGACTAGGATCTCTCCTAATTTTTAACAGTAGGGAAGTGTTTACAAAAAATCTAATCACCTTTACCTTGAAACGGAAGTGGGTCGTCCTGTTCAAGCCACAAGCGCTCTCAAATTCTTGAGTATGTTTGCCACCAGGTTCAACCCTAGACGTTACCCACTACCCAGGTTCCTTCGAAGCATTTAAGTTCTGGCCTTCTCTGCTAGCATGCGAGAATTCCTGGGTTATAAAAAACAATTAGCAAAGAGTAAAATAAATGTTCTGATAGCAATTGCCCACCGCGTATTACTCAGAATAGATTGGAGACACGATTAGTTGATTACCGTGGAGAATATAACAAGGGTCTAAACACCTCTTTGCTAAAAAAGGGCCTCTAGTTGTTCTAAGTTTATGAAGTCCAGCTATGAGATGAAAAGTAGGGGCGCATTAGTTGTTTAATGAAGCAGCTATGTCGGTGACACCAAATTATTTTGAATATTTTCCATAAAGATACAAGTTTTTGAAAAAGTATAAAAATTTATCACATATTAAAATGCACAAATTGAACTATTGGAGGCTTGGAGCCTGCTCTTTGCAGTGAAAAGTTATTGCCGGTGACAGTCTGACAGATCATTGTCAATCACCCGATGCATTGGAAATGGTGTTTAGCAATTCAACTCAAATAAGCTTAAAATGCCCCCTTGGTCCATAGGGACTCTAGATTTTGTTATATTATTGTGACTCATCATACTACAAAGGGCTCAAGTGTTGAGCCAGAGTACATATATATAACTTGAGAAGAAGCCCAAACTTAACCTGTAAAGAGCTTAATATATGAAGTACTCAATAATGTATACAGATAAATATACATGCCTTACACTTGCCTCCGGAAAGAATTGAGTTGCATAGAAGAAAGTAGCTACAGAGCAGGGGATTCGAAGGTGTTACCACTTTAGCACTGTAGAGAGTAAAGGAAGCTACTAGCCACAGAAGATTCTCCTTAGTTTAGTTTACCTCATTTTAAGCAAAAATGGTAGAAAAGGCTTGTGTAAAGCGCTTGCAGAAGGAATATAGAGCACTGTGTAAAGAACCTGTTTCAAATATTGTTGCCCGTCCTTCTCCAAATAACATTCTGGAGTGGCATTATGTGTTGGAAGGGAGTGAAGGAACACCGTTTGCAGGCGAGTATTATTATGGGAAGATTAAGTTTCCTCCTGAATATCCATATAAACCTCCAGGGATCAGGATGACTACTCCAAATGGCCGCCGATTTATGACAGAAACAAAAATATGTCTATCTATGAGTGATTTCCATCCAGAGAATTGGAACCCTATGTGGTCGGTCTCAAGTATTCTCACCGGATTGCTCTCATTTATGATGGATAATAGTCCAACAACGGGAGGTGTGACAACAACTGCTTCTGAGAAAGTAAAACATGCAAAGGCTTCTCTCGCTTTCAATTGTAAAAACGTCACTTTTAGGAAATTATTTCCAGAATATGTGGAGAAGCATCAACAACAGCTTCAAACACAGTCGGTCTCAGATTTGCCACATCTGCCGCATACACAGCAAGAAAATACCCAGGCTTTGGGTGATTTGAACAGGGGGGGTTTGAATGAAGTAGAGCCTCAACGAGAAATTAGAAACAGAAGGAAGCCTCCTTTCCCAGCTTGGGTGTTGCTACTGCTAGTTGATAGGATCCTCCAGAAATACAACAGAAATCACAGAAATTTATCAAGAACAATTCAAAGCTTTATTGAATCAAGAACGTAACAAGAAACAATGGCCGTAACCCCCAAAAGCCGAAGCTCCCAAAGAAAGAGATTATTAGTCTCAGTCTTCCCAAGTCCTAAGACAAACAGTCCCCAAAAGCCTCCCTTACTACTCCCCCTTCCCATCTATTTATACTACAATACATCAAGTGCCCTTATTACTAATATTCTTATTAGTACTTCTATTATTAGTCTAATATAAGTGGGTTCCTATCAATACTCCCTCCCTAAACATCCACCTTGTCCTCAAGGTGGGTAATAGGAGAAAGCCAAAATCTTTTGCTTCCCCTTCCTCTTCCTTGTTCCTCTCCCTTCCCAATATCGAACTGATTGTGGGACCATGAACCTTCCCAAAGATGTCTGGCAGCTTACAAACCCCACCACCACTCTGGATCCTGATGCCGTGTACTGCCGGATGTATACTGGTGTATTGACAAGCAAGGAAGGAACTGCACATTGATAACCAGTACATTGATACTGAGGTATAGCTATAACTATTTTTCCCGTCAAGTAGGGTTCCACTTCTATATTTCCAGCATCTACATTTAGCTTGGTTTGCCTTACAAGAGCACAAGTGGAACAGTTCAGTTCTGGTTCATTGGAGCCTAAGATCATATTGTAAGGTTGAAAATTTGCTTCAGCTTCCAATCCCATGACCATAGTCTGAGTATTAAGATCCAGAACCACACTGATTTTATCCAACTGATATTCAAAAGTAAATTCATCAGCCCCTTTCAATCTATAATTACAGGAATCCCAATTTGCATAAAGTGTCAAACTGCAGTCCTTAACTCCCATCCCAGATTTGACATTGGAGTGAATGAAGGCCGATCCTTCAAATGCACAAATCTGTGGATCATTCTTTCCCAACTGCCCTGCTAAGATACTCTGGACTTTTACCCCCTTTTTATCCGCAATAACTTGATCCTGGCTGTCAGAATCAGCAACATACTTGTCCATAGACACATCATTCACCAATTCTTTTTGAAAATTCTTCCTAGAAGTAACCCTTTCCACTCTAAGACTATCAGACGTGTTCATTCCTTCTAAGGTAATGTTTGATGACTGACAACCCATCGTTTCAGTGTTGAAGATATTTGGCCAGTTCACCAGCTGTACAAGGTGAGAAGGAACATTACCTATCTGAAGAAACTTGAACCGATTCGTTTCAAGGTTTGGCTGGTCCAGATCGTACGTGGAAAAAATCTTACCCCTGGTGAGTTCAGCAACGGCACCAGCTTCATGTTCAAAGTTATCTGATGATTTCTTCTTGTGTTCCTTGTCACCATTCTGCTGATTAGTCAAATCCTGATGCAATTCAGGGGACTCAGATGGATATTGCGAAATGGGGTCTTCTGTTTTCCTAGAAACCAGAGGTCCTGAAGAAATTGCTTGTGAACTTGGAGGAGCGACTTGATACGAAGAACGCGAACAGTGAGAATGAATTGGCGAGGAGGAATATTCTCCTCTCACTCGCGTCTTTCTTGGAACTGAACTGATAGCCGGTGACAAATTCCGCGAATGATGATGCGAAGAGCGATGAGAAGAGTGATGCGAAAAACCTTGTTTGTCAGTTAGCGGAAGAAAAAAGAAAGAAATTTAACAAGAAACAATGGCCATTGCCCCCAAAAGCCGAAGCTCCCAAAGAAAGAGATTATTAGTCTCAGTCTTCCCAAGTCCTAAGACAAACAGTCCCCAAAAGCCTCCCTTACTACTCCCCCTTCCCATCTATTTATACTACAATACATCAAGTGCCCTTATTACTAATATTCTTATTAGTACTTCTATTATTAGTCTAATATAAGTGGGTTCCTATGACTAGTATCTGTTGGTGCTGTGATGGCTTTGCCACTTCTGCAGCTTTCATGATTTCCACAGTCGAGATTTTTCATTCAAGCTTCTTCCGAGTACTGTGGTGGGGGGTAATGTCCTTAAAGTCCTTGAATTATAATGGACTTATTCTCATGGTTTGTGTAGGGGTCATGCTGTTTAGGTCACTTGGTCCTGGCTTGATATGGGTTGTACAAATTTATTGCTAACATTGGCTCCACCAAAGGTATTTACTGCCAAGGCTGTAAATGGACATGATGTTTGACGTACAACTTGTGTTTGGCCCTGATTATTGTTACTCCATGATCTTTTGATTAGTTAAGTGAATACAAACAAGACTTGTTTTAGTGTTTCTTATCTAAACAACATAGTTTGAACCACTGAAATCTTGTTACATTAATGTTCCTCAACCTATTGTTTTGTGTATTCTTGAACAAATTCAGTTAGAGCTCGTATAAGCCTGTGTATGATTAAATTTGACAAGGGATATAGCTCTAAACCTTCTATGGTGTTTTATGAAATTATTTTATTGATGGGGAAAAAAAATAAGATATATGTACATGCATACATAAATAGTTAAATACAAACACACACATATATACACAAATACAAAAAATACATACATACAAAAAAAGACAAATCATATACGAAAGTGTGTGTTCTAAAAGACCTACCGTATCTCACCAATGATAAAAGCATGGCAGCCAATTTGAAGAATCACACAACTCCACACGAGCAGATAAGATCCAATATACTTCTTCAGGAAGGATTAATCACAAGTAAATTACTTAATACAGTGTTTTGTTTCATTTACGAGACACATCTCTATTGCTTCATCACATAGCTCAAGAACCCTATCGATCTCTCCTTCCTCAAATGTCATATCTGCAAATAAACAGTATAATTCCTTATCCACAGCCAACCCTTCTTTCCTCATCTCTTCAAAAAAAAACTTTGCTTCAGAAAACTTTTTCCTCTTCAAGAAACCCTTAATGAGTGCATGATATGTATCAACCGTTGGTTTATATCCCTTCCCAACCATTTCTTTATGTAAAAACCAAGCTTCCTTCATATTCCTAGCTTTGCAATGTCCTCTTATCAATATGTTATATGAATTACCATCCGGCTTAACACCTTTTCTGATCATCCCTTTGCATATCTCAGATGCGACATGAATGTTATTCCTAATACAGTATTGCTTCATCAGAGAATTGTAAGTGGTAGCATTTGGAAGTATACCTTTATCCACCATCCAACCCAGAATCTCCCTGCCCTCTTCAAGCATCCCTGAGGAGCAGAACCCGTTGATCAAAACATTGAAGGTAACTATAGTGGGCTGAATTGCTTTGGATAGCATATTATTCAGAAGATCGTGTGCCTTTTCCATCTCTCCAGATTTACAATAAGCATCCATTAGTGTAGTGTAGGTAAAACAGTCAGGTAGTATGCCAAACGCTTCCATTTCTTTCATCACCTTTACTGCTTGGGAAATATTTCCAGCTTTGCAAAAACCATTAATAAGTGAATTGTAAGTGTAAATATTCAACTCAAGTCCCTTTTCACACATATCCTGAAGAAGTTCAGTGGCCATGTCAAGTTCCCCATGTTTACAAAGCCCATCAGCCAATGCGGTATAAGTGACAATGTTCGGGACCAATCCCACACGAACCATTTGGTTGTGGAGAGAAAAGGCGACCTGAATCTCACCAGCTTTGCAGTGACCATCTATAAGTGTAGTGTAAGTAAACACATCTGGTCTCAAACCACAACGAATCATATCATTTAGAAGTTTATATGCTTCTTTAACCTTTCCAGAATGACATAAACCACAGATAAGGGCAGTATAAGCAACGGAATCAGGAAATGTGTTCCAAGACTGCATTTCATTAAACAATCTGTATGCAGAAGACACATCCCCAGATTTGCAAAACCCGTCAACAAGAGTTGTATAAAGAACATTATCGGGAGTAATTCCCTGTGATATCATATCCCTAAGGACCTCCTCTCCGGATGATGCTTTACCATTCTTACACAAAAGAAGAACTACACTGTTAAAAATGTGTTTGTTTGGTTTAAGACCCTTTCTTCGCATTTCGACTATGATATTCAACACTTGCACCAGATGCTCCATATCAGTACAATACCCATTAATCACAGTACTGTAACTTATAACATCAGGAATGCATCCCCGATTTTCCATTTGAAGGAGTAGGTTGTGAGCTTCTTTCACTCTTCCTATTTGGCAAAGAGAATGGACTATTATGTTATAAGATTCAGTATCCCATGAAATACCCAAAGTAGCAAATTCACCAAAAACCTTCAATGCCATTTCATGCCCACCAATACTCTTTGATAGGCGTGAAAGATATAGGTTACATGAAGAAACGGATAAAACTATGCCGTAATTCAATAACTTGTCAAAAAGCTCCCTAGCATAAACTAACAAGCTAACTTCAATAAGAGCTTGGAAGAAAATGTCAAATACATAAGGATTAGAGCCCCAATCCTTGTATGTGTATACTAGCATGTCAAAGAAATTAACGAACGAAAGATTGATGTCGAGACTTGGTTTAACCCAAAAACCACGTATGAGTCCTCGAGATGTTTCTGTGTCTTTAGCTGATGTGGCGATGTGAGCAACAACACAACGGGCCTCAAGTGATGGCTTGCTCCTTAGGGACCACCAGTTATACAAATCCAGAACTAGTTTGTAGTCATTTTTTAAGTTCATGAGAACCCAGATGAAATGATCAGACCTGAAATTCCGTTCGAATGGATTTAAAGTACTGTTAAGGGTCTCACAACGACGTTGCTTTACAGTATTAGACACTTGATGCACAAGTTTGGCATCTCTTATGGATGGTTTCTTAGGAGAATAATCAGGGAAGGGTCGAGGATCGATCCTATGAACCTTACAATCACTTGAATAGCAGAAGATAGAGAGATGGCTAATGGCTGAACACAATTGTTCATTGAAAAAAAAGACTCGAGGATTATAGTTTGGGGATAAGAATAAAGATTTCCTCATGTCTATGAAAGAATGCCATCAGAACAGATTTCAGACATCCATTCCTGAACAAGCAATGGCATCCCTCCATGTAGAAGAATCAAATTCACTCCATCACCTGTAAACAATGATTATGTATCACACTTTGAGTGGAAAAATCCAGTTAGACTAAAAATCCTGACCATAAACATAAGAGCAAAGAAAAACCACATGTTTTATGATGAGGCGCACCTCCTAAAGAAAGCTAATGATGTTACATTCCTATATTTTGTAACCTTATAATCATCTTTAATTTCTCATCACTTCCAAGTTTCAAGCAAGTGAGGTAGTATATTATAGCTGCACTAAAGGACATTATTGATTGATAAAAATGTGAAAGGAGAAAATGTGAATGATTAAAATATGTGTAATCATTTTCATATGTTTGAGAACAATTTATGATTCAGATGCGTATATGTGTATGCCAATATTACACTCAGGTGAGAGGGTTGCTTTCTATATGCTTCCTTAACTCACTATCCCAATTTAATCTGAAAGTAAAGAGTGCTTGTCTCTTAGTCAACCGAATAGGCTATATGCGCTACACGCTGAGTCCGCCTCCTCCCCATAGAATCTAAGTTAACATATAAAAAAATAGCATGTGATCTGGAAAGGACACTTGACACCTCCAAAATTTGGGAAGCTCCCAGAGGAAAAAATAAACGGAAAAGAACACCTGGAAAAGAACACCTAGACCACATACATCCATCAAATGTGAAATTTCAGATATATTGTACAACTTTTGTCCACAGAGACAGTTTTCAGATATATTAGTTAAACTACTTAATATTTGATGTATTAATTTTTTAGCTTTACCTTTTTATGTATTTAATACTACGTATTAAGTAAGAGATCTGAAAAGTAATTTAAGATCAATATAAGATCAAAGTAATATTCACATAGACTAATTGAAAAAAATGATAGTGTGCTTCACTTGAAATTTCTCATCTTAATAAAATCGATGTCCCTCAAAAGTTCACTATGGTAACTACTCAAAGCAGTGACATCTAAAATGTTAAAGAACAGAAGGTCAATCAAACCTCACCTTCAATGTAAAACTTCAATTGCCTCCAACTTTTTGTATACTTCTCTAGTTCTCTACATAGCAGATTTTAACTTGTATGTAATTAAAATAGGATTCTTTTTTAGTGGCTTAAATCTTTTGAGATTTGATCTTCATTTTAAAGATTGCAAGTTTAACAATTCAGATTTAGAGTGAATATTAGGGGGTGTTTGGAACTGATTCTGCTTCTGCTTCTTTTTTAAAAGCAGAAGCAGAATCAGAATCAGTTTTCAGAAGCTGGTACCCCCCCAACTTCTAAAAAAATTGATTCTGGGAGTAAATTAGAGCACCAGAAGTGCTTCTGGAATTTCACCCAAACACTCCAGCTTATGCTTCTGCTCCTTGAAGGAGCAGAATCAGTTTTGAGAATCAGATCCAAACACCCCCTTAGTACTCCAGGAAAACATAAACAAAAGAATATTTACATCTAAAAAATAAATTATTATTAATGTATATCATCCAAAAAACGAAAACCAAAAGAATAGATCAAAATGAGTAATAGTCAAACCAAAAGAATAGATCAAAATGAGTAATAGTCAAGTTCTTACTTATAAATCCTTCAAAGTTGCATTAATAGTGGACTGAAAGAACCCAACCCCCCCCCCCCCCCAATAAACACCAAGTTTTATTTTTAGTTATATGCAGTAATATGTAGGTTTAACTTCAATTGTATTAGTGTAAGTAATACGTAGTATATTAATTTTCAAGCAAAGAAATGTATTGTTCTCCTAGCAGCTTACCGTGGTCATCACACGGGTGCAACATTAACAATGTCTAGTGCAGCAAAGGTGATGGATAAGAGGAGTGGGAATGGAGAGATTTTAAAATTAGCATATTTCCATATATTTGATTGAGGAATTTCAACAAACACCATCCGAACAAAATATTTAATCATACCCAATGGCATTATGACATATTTACAAACACTTAATGTATTCTTACAAACACCTTGTATTTTCACTACTAACTAAATTGATGATAGCCATCTCCATATACACCTAGAAAATTGGAAATCAGTTTAAAATCAAAGATGGGTGATATGATTTAAACGAATAATATACCTCGAACTCAGTTTGAAGCGGCTGGATTTCGGAGAAGATTGTTTTCCAGGTGAGCGGGAATTTCATTTCAGAAATTGAAGTGTGGGAAGATTTTTCCTGCGACACCAGGGCAGGGAAAACAGGTTGATTACAGGCGACTGCTTACGGAATATTATGGGCTGGTCGGAATTATTGTATGGTGAAGGATGTTACGGCCTAATAAAATGGTGATAGAAGTGATGGCCCAAATATGTAAGGTCCACAATAAATAAGGAAATTTTTAACAAATAGATTAAATTAGTCTAAATAGAGGAGTAATATTATTTTTTCACTTTTCAAATTTTTCAAAAATAGACTACGAAATAGATCATAACAACCCAGGATGTTTTTACTTGGACTTGAATTTGCTGGTCTGATCTGTTTACTTCAGGTCGAATCTCAATTGATCTGATTTGTTTAAACTTTGTCTGGTTCGATTTGTTTAAGTCTAATTTGGTCTAATCTGGGACTGAATCTAGGTAAAAACACCCTAAGCATGCTTCTTAAGTAATAGATTGTACAAGGAAGATTGAAAATTTATTCATGTACCAATTCTATGCTTATTCATTTACAATTTTCATAATTTTAAAAAACTAAGAAAATAATGATGCAAAATGATACTCCCTCCGTATTTAAAAAATTGCTACGTTTATATGCCACAAGATTTAAGGTAGAATAGTAGGGATAATGAATAGTATAGAAAAAGTTATAGGGAATGTGAAAAAATAGGAAAAAGAGGATAAAAGTAGAAAAAGTAAGGGTAATTGAGTATTTAAAAAAAAACTTACCAAACAGGGAAAGTGTAGGGAACTTTTAAATACATCCCAAAAAGGAAAGTATAGTAAGCTTTTAAATATGGAGGGAGTATAAAATTTCAAAAAAAAAAAAGAAACTGAAACAAACATATATATTCTCAGGAACATTTATAACTTTAACAAGGTAAAAAAAAAAAGGCAAAAAACAATACAATGAATGTATAAAAATTTAAAACTACAAAGTCGAAAAAAGTAAAAAAAAAAAAAATTGGAAATACCATAAATATTTTATTCAATTCTGAAAATACATAAACTAAAAGAAAAAAGTATAAACGAGCGAAAACTTATCGGTTGAAGAAAAATATAAAATTTACAAACACAGGTAAAATAAGATAAATGTGTTTTCAAACTATTTAAATATATGACAAGTCGTTATAAAACTTTATGCACACTGTTTTTAAAAGAATAATTCACACCAATAATACCACTTATTAGCGATTCTTCCATTATTAATCCCTACAAAGCGTTATTCCAGATTAATACCAATCAGTGGGGTAAGCTTCCATAAGAACTCTATTAATATGAAGGGTCAGGCTTAGCCGGTAATAAAAATACACGTGACCCGCACGTGACTAAAATTGTCATCCTCAAACGTGAGGCTCCTCTTCCATGTCTAAACTTGACCTACATCTTCAACGACATAAAGAAGGATGATGACAAACTACGACGAGGAAGATAGAGTACGAAGAAGAAGACGGGCTCTGAGGTCACACAGGAAAACGACTGAATAATTCATGAAGTCGGTGAGCGGTTCATCTTCTTGGACTTGTAACTCAAGCAGAGTAGAAGGTGGACGACGTACTTGTTGTCACAAAATTGAGGCAAAACTTCGAACGGTAAAGAGTGGTCCAAACTTGGGAAGGACATTTTATGGCTGCTCGCAATGGCCAGTAAGTATCCCCTTTTTTATTTTGAGTTTATACGCTTGTAGGCTGAAAAAAACAGAAATATTAAATTGTTTAGGTGATGATTTCATATTATGCAAGCTAATTAATTTTAGTTCAGTTTGAATCAGAATAACTTCAGTGTTGACTATGTAAATGTATTTACCAGGAGGAGGAGGAGGAGGAGGAGGAGGGGGAGGGGGGAGGAGGAGGAGGAGGAGGAGGAGGAGGAGGCTATGAAAACTGGGTCTGGTTTGGTGATTTGCAAAAGATGCAGAGGAGAAACATTTGCTATTATGGTTGTGGTTGCATCTTTGATTGTATTTGGGATTGTTTGTTTTTTGAAGTAATGTAACATTTACCAATTTAGGGTTGTTATTTGAAGTAATGATATTCCTGTTACATGTAGTTCAATGTAATGTTCCATGTTCCATTTTGGGATCTTAAACATGTATACCTAATGTATTTGCTTTGTAGTTTGGATTTGTGTGGAATGTAATGTATATCATGTTTCATCCATTGTTGCAATTCATTATACATCTTTGAAAAGGCTAATGCCAGATGCTAACAGAAAGCGCCAGATGGTAACAGAAAGCACCAGATGGTAACAGATAGCACATATGACATATCCAACTATCAGGGCCGAACCCTCTCTTGAGGCAAAGAGGCAGTTGCCTCAGGCCTCAAAAATTTGGTCAATAATAGGGGCCTATAAATAATTTAATTCTAGTAGTATGTATATACATTTTTTTCTATTTTATTAAGATAACAACAATATAAATAATATTAATCAAAATAATATCATGCAATTATGTGGGATTAATTATTTGATGTAGGCATATAAATTAAATTAGTGCTTACAAATCTTAATATCCAAATTTTACATTATTTAAAGGCCTTTTACAAATATTCGACTCGGGCCAAAAAATGCTAGGATCGGCCCTGCCAACTATGAACCTGAAATATAACATGTAAATGTTTCTAAAGTAAAGGCAAAGTGCAGAAAAGGCAAAAACCACATTCAAATTGTCAATAGAAGTCATTGTCTAACATGACGGGAAGAACTGGCTGCAATTGTTTAAAACTTCCCAGGATACACACACCTAAAGGTAATACTCACAACAATCACAACAACAAAAGTGTAGCCAAACGAAAATTAAAATACATCATCCCTAACAATTCCATTAAACAACAATATTAAGGGACTTCAAAGGGAAAACAACATCATTCACAACATCATTTCATCATCTACTACATTCTTTCAAACGGGTGCACTAGCATTGCTTAAAGGAGGACATTTACTCCCCGAAATGACTCTCGGGCCTCCAACTTGACCGGGTTACTACAAAAACAAACCACAAACGTTAATGAAAACACATAAACGTCAAGATTTAAAAATTATAAAAAACATATTCTCACATTAACAATAGTGTTTCCTTGGCCATCAATGAACACACCAAAACCCCGAGGGACTTGCATCCAATAAAAACACATAAATAATAGAATGTACAACATCATATCATAGTTCAAATGTGTTATGCATACCTGGATGCCTTTCCCTCTCCCTTTTCCTCTCCCTCTACCTCTCATGATTACCCTGCCTTCTATTCCAGTTTGTGTTGGTTGGGCAGTCACATTACATACGCAGTTTGCCTTTCAGTCTCAACAGAAGGTATGACATGCTTCCTAAGTCTTCCCCTTGGTTTCTTGACTTGGTTTCCGATTTAGGCAGTAAAGACTTTTTCAAAAAAAAAACAAAATCTTTAAAGATCAAGGTTAAACCTAGTCAAAGCTACACTCTGAGGACCAAGAAAATTCATTCAATGTCACTCAACAATCCATTTCCAACAATCTACAATGGTTAGCCGCTTCAACTCCTCAACCTTGTGTGATCATCAAAGTGCTGAATTGGCAAAAGAGCAGTTTGAGGTAGGAAGATCCGACAGTCACCAAATCATTAAGGAATTGGAAGAAAGACTTAAGAATGTGTTAAGACTCGGGGTTCCATCCTAAAAGGTCAACCTGTTAGGAGGAGTAGCCCGAAGCTTAATACAGCACTCTAGTGCTTCTCAATTTTCCGGTGTGGGACATTTAACACCCCTCCTCACGACCAGACACTTCGTCTGGATCGTGTCGTCATTCATTTTTTCATCGGTTCATCAATGTTTTTTATCGTGTCGTCATTTTTCATAAGGGGCCCCACACCATGGATCGATTTGACTCTGATACCATGTTAAAACTCGGGGTTCCATCCTAAAAGGTCAACCTGTTAGGAGGAGTAGCCCGAAGATTAATATAACACTCTAGTGCTTCTCAATTTTCCGGTGTGGGACATTTAAGAGAATGACCATAATGTTTTGTTGAAACAATTAGAGAAGGAATCTTTCTTGAATGTTAAGATCACACCATCTGAACAAAAAATCGTTAAACTAACTTTAGAGACTGAAAAGTTGGGAGTAAATGTTTGTGATTTAACTAAGAGATTAACTAGTTCTCAACGTGAACGAAATAGACTTTCAGCTGTTAACACAACTCTTTTAGAGCAAGGGGATACTCTCTATACAAAAATCAAACAACTAGAAGACCTTTTAGCCAAAAGAGACCAAACAGATCAACAATTTTTCTAAATCAACCGAAAGACACTTGTTTCTACTAGGGTTGCGCAAGAATAACCTGAACCCGTGATGTGTGTTTTCTCGCACTTAAAAAGGTTGTAGAAAACTGGTTGAAAGTACGAGTATCGTCTCCACAGGGACGTACAAAAGAGAATTAAAGATTAACTAAATTCAGCGATTAAAAAGAAAATAAATAAAATAAAGATGCAAGTGTGTGAGATTGATTGGTGAATTAAAATTAAACTAATGCGAATGAACGGTTTAAATAAAAATTGGTTTCTTCTTAATTAACGACGAAGGGAACAGGGATTGATTCCGGGGTAACCAGATTTCTGGCAGATCAGGTCTAATTACATGAGATTGATTTAAAATTGAGCCTAGATAATCATTACTAAGTTCTTACCGCTCTCGCGACGTAGAGTACAATAATTTAGGAGACCAGGCTGATTTCTCATGCGACAGGATCCTAAATTATTGCCAAGGAGAGCGAGCTTACGGCCCATTAATCGCTACTAATCTCTTAGAGAACAATTAAGTGTGTGTGAATGTGTTCTAGAATAAATTAGATCTCTCTTAACTTATTCTATAGGCAATTATAATTCTAGCGGCCGTTCTAGGTTACAAAAGATATCAGTTAAATTATTCAAACACAAATTAAACGGCATTCATGCAATTAATCCATCAAGAATCTAGCCATACATCATGATTAACCCCTTCATCAATCCCAAATCCCTAATTAAACTATTCACAATTCATAATTGAAAAATCAACAGAATTGGGATGAATAGAAATAATTGTCATTAATTAAAAAGATGAACTTACAAATAATCTCAGGGTCTTGGAGTAAAAAATCGTAAAAACGCAAGTAAATTCGTCCCTAGGCCTCTCCGTAATGTTCGTAACCCCTAAAAAAGGTTAGGGAAGCCTTATTTATAGAAAAAGGGGAGAAGAAATGAATTCTGGCTGAGTTGGGATTTTTTCTCACGTAACACGGGGCTACGCACGATCGTGTGTCCCTGGCTACGCACGATCATGCGTAGCAGGCAGTAGCTTCACCGCGTTTTCGCTCTTACGCATGATCGTGCATACTTCTACGCACGGTCGTGTGTCCGTGTTTTTCAGCTTTTTCTTCCATTTTCTTGCTCCAAACGCTCCCGGATGCAAACGGGGTCAATCCAAATGCTCTTTCTTCATCGAAATTTCGTCGTGAATCACCCGGTGACCTCCAAATCTCTAAAATCTCTCCCGAATGCTCTCTAGCTCTTCCCGGTTGCTTCTCAAGCGCCTATTGCCGGACTCTAACTTCTTCAATTTGACTCCAAATGCAACAAAACTCGAACCAATGCCTGGTAAACATAACTTGAGCTAAAATTGAGACTTGCAACACCTTAAAACTAGGAAAACCATCAAAAAACGATCCCAACACGCATCAAATGTGTGTCTAAATATGGACTTATCAACCCGCATAACCCGCCCGACTCAACCCTACCCGACCCTATTTAATCGGGTATTTGACTTAAAAAAATATTCATGGGTTATATGTACGAACCTGCACTTAATGGGTAGGGTTGTGGAATTGAATTCTCAAACCCGATAGTAGCCGACCCGGCTGAATGTTCATTTTGCTATTATTATGCTACAAGGTTTTCTTTGATAATTTCAATATAAGACCAATGTGCTCTATCTAGGACTATGATATTAGAATTAGAATTAAACATTTACCATTTTGACTAGGTGATTGTTATATATTTACGTTTGCTTCTAAATGAACTTCCTTTACGGAAGGATGTTTTAAAACTTTTACCCAATGGCTTTGCTTATAAAAGACATTTGTATTTGTTTGTGCGTTTTGGAAATAAGTTAATCGAGTTTCAAATTGCTTACATTGGTTTCCCACATTAAGGATACTGAGAGCAAGTTGGTACCGAAAACTCCGGTAATGCATCAAGCATTGTCGCCACCTCTGAAAATGATGATGATGATAACAATGAAGACTATGATGATGATGATGATGATGATGATGTCCCACTGATCAAAAGAACTACACGAAGAGGGAATATAATCTAACTCCCCCTCAAGGGTACGAAGAGGCATCTCACTCCATAAGTAACATTGATGGTATCATTATCAGTGTGACACGCTCCAAACACCAACATGACGTCTGTCAGTCTGTGCCACATCATCTGAGTCCACAACAAGAGATCAATCAACTGGCAGTCGTGGAAAAGAAATGGCTTTGTTCAATGAAATAATCCAGCCAAATACATCCAAGACTAACCTCATAGGAGCAAGAGCTGACCTAGTCGGTTCTCGAGTAGAAATCGTTGCATTAAGTCCAACACCGCAACTTCTTACCCCAACCAGCCACGCTGTTGTCTCTCAACATGGAGTAATTTCAATAATTCACGGGGAAGCCTCACTGACCTAGTGGTCCACGGCCCCACACCACTACCCCTTTGTTGTTCACGTCGAGTCTAGGTCCTACAATTCCTACATTTTTATCAATTTCTAGGACACAAACAACGCACACTACATCAACTATATACATGTGCTAATCACCTGAATGCAACAACCGGAGAAAAATCGATGATAATCATTTAGTTCAAGACGAGGACGCATTTTCACGTCGAGGGTACTCGCTTCCCAGATCTTGTTTAGATATCTTATATATCGCATGTATTAATACATGGTTCAATTCAAACTTTATCACATGATTGCTCAATTGGTTTCTACCAAAATTGGTTGTATCGGATGAGGTTACTGTTAGAAGACTATTTTAGCTATTTTTACGTATAATTTTCTTTATTTTATTAATAAAATATTAAAATATATTTTAAATACATTTTTTCATAAATCAACAGAATTGAATCAGACAAATTCGGTCACTTCAGCCAGAATTTTCATAAATTTGAGGGGGTGATATCAAATATTGAAATAAAAATGAAATCTTGAAGTACGATTTTTTATTATTATCAAAAGTTAGCTAGCTGCGAGAATCTGTTCTCATCGCCCATATAGCTAGCGAATCTATTTCTACGTACATTTTACAGATTGTGCTCTATCAAAGTCAAGCTTTAGTTTATAATTATTAAACACAAAGTTAATTAATCAAACTATCGTAGATCATAAGCTAACTACTGTCTACGTACGTACATTAGTTTATATATATGAATAAGCTGATCCATCCTGAATAATTGATAGTAGTGATGAAGAAGACGAGCTGTTACTCTACTTTCCACCAGGTGCTACTAATTCTCGTCTCTAATCTTCTACCCTGTTTGGTTTCGTCCCTGACATGCCAGAGAACCTGCGGGAGCCAAGTAATCAGATACCCGTTCGGGACCGGGCCGGGCTGCGGGGACCCCCGGTTCGAGCCTTACGTGACCTGCAACAGCCAGCAGCAGGTCCTGAGGTTGGGAACCCGCAGCGGGTGTTACCCGGTCACGGCTATCGACTACGAGAGAGAGGTAATTTACATCTCTGACCCTTCCATGTCCACCTGCTCTTGCACCCCGCCAAGCAGAGGGTTCAGCCTCGACGGGAATGCTCCTTTCTCCTTCTATGACTCCACCGTTTTCGCCCTTCTAGGTTAGTTCGTACCTACTACTGTCTCTATTTCAATTTGTTTGACACAATTTCCTTTTTTGGATGTTTCAAAATGAATGTCACACTTTTTTTTCCTTATTTGGTGAACATATCTATACCAAAACACCACATAACAGTGTCAAACAGTGTCAAAAACTTTGTTCTATAGTAAAATTTGCTTCTTAATCCTGGACAAGTCAAAATGTGTCAAACAAATGGAAAAGGAGGGAGTATCTCTCAATTCACCTCATTACACGATATCCCTAGCTAACTCACTTTGTTTAACGCTTTTGCACTTTATCCGTCTAAGACAGGACATACTTGAGGTTACTTTAATTTTGACTTATTTTGCATAGATAATTTGTTCAAAGTTTGGATGACATGGACCATTTTCTTTTACTAAATTCTACTTCCCATAAAATTCATCCCCATTTGATTTCGATTGGAATTTAAAAGAATGAAATGAAGTGAAAATGTGTAGCATGTTTTAGTAAGAAAAATGTAAATGAATATTGTCACAAAAATTTTCTAATTTTGTTTTGGAGCATCCACAAAAGTAAGTGGGAGATGAGAATAATTTTGCAAAACAACCCCAATATATGTTGTACACAGTACGCAAATGAGATAAAATATTCGGAGTACTATCGTGAGAAACATGTGCAAAGAGAACTTTCCAATAGTCTAATACGAATTCTTTAAACTGTTTTCTACTTGTCTCAATTTTTTCTTATTTTACACAGAAGTCAAATCTTGAAATGTCTGAAGGAACGGAATGACTAAATATACTTATATTGATTAAGCTTCAAGACCGACTTGGAATTCCATCCACGTCAATCTAATATGAGAAGTAAACTAAGATCTATTAATTGTTTTAGAGATAATCATTGTGTGACAACAATACCACTCTTCACGACTAGTCACTTCGTCTGGATTATGCTGGCAGTTATTCATTTTTTATTCATTCATACTACCTCCGTCCCATTTATATTATTCCGGAAGAAGGTGACACGGTTATTAAGAAAAGTGGGTTTGTGTGGTTGATTTTAATTGATAAAGTAAGAATAAAGTAAGAATGATTTAGAGTCACACAAACTTTGCCAAATATGGTATAAGACAGTTTAAGTGGACTTCCCGAAAAAGTAAAACGGGACAAAATAAATGGGACGGAGGGAGTAATTGTTTTAGGGATAACCAATTATTAGACCAGACCATATCATACTTAACCAGACCATATGAAATTAGACTAGATCAAACCAAATCATCAAATTTGAGTTCAAAATAAAAACATTCTTACTCTCCTCTTACTCTCGTTTAACGATTAGTCTAAAACAATTATTCTCAAGCAATTTACATTTTACAATTTTGTACATTTAATCCCAGGCTGCTCGGGAGGGGTAAACTCGTCTTCTCCGGTGTGCGATTCCCAGGCCGCCCCAATCTGCGACCTCCTATACTCATGCCAGCCGATCACCAGCAGGGTGAACAACATCCAGGTCTCCGGCGGTTGCTGCGTCTACGCGCCGATGGATCTCGGGCCGGCGTTTCAGATGGACTTGGAGAAACTCCAGTGCGCCGGCTACTCCGCCATGTACAGCGGCGGAGACGGGAACCCGCTGGCGTGGAAATACGGGATTGCCCTGAAATATAAGTTTAACTACAATAACGATTACCCGGATTTGTGCGAAAGCTGCGAGAAGAGCAATGGGGTTTGTGGGTACTCTGTACAGTATAGAACTTTTCTGTGTAATTGTCCTGGCGGGTTCAATTCTAGCTCCACTTGTTTCATCCCTGCTTTGAGTGATGGCAGCCAGCGTCTCAGGGGTCTCTCTTGGAAAGCAGGAGGTACTCCACTCCTCATTCTTGTTGTTTTTCTACTTCAGCAATACCTCATTGTACACCTCATTGTACAGTAATTAAAATGTCTACTCTTTCGGGTCAAAAAAGATTAGTCAATTTGATTTTTCTTGGTCAATGACATGAAAGTTTAGATAATGATTTTTGGTTTTAAATTTGTGTGAAATTTATAAATGTTACTCCGTATATTTTTACAAAATGTTTTTTAATAAAGAATGTGATGATATACTCCGTAATTTTTATATTTTAGAAAATTTTGTATTAAAAAATATGATTACTCAAACTTGACCAACATTGATAAAGAAAAGTCAATTTGGCCAAATAATTTGGGACGAGGGGAGTATATGGTAAGCATGTTTTAAATTGGAATATAATTTTATCAAAATGTTGTTGGTACACACTTTTTGTACACATATGATGTGTTGTGCACCCCCTCTAGTTGTCTGTCTATATAGGCAATTCAAAATTGTCTTTTAGACAAACAACTAGTAGGGGTGTGCACCATATGTGTACAAAATGTGTGTACATCAAACATTGTTCATAATTTTATGGTCCAGTCTAGCTTGGTTGATCTGATTTAATTTGATTTGTAGGTGTCTCTTTTACTTTACATTAATTTGACAATTATCGAAGTCTCGTTTGATCTGGTCTAATACGAACTAATATAATTTTTTTTAATATGGTTGATCGGATTTGATCTGATTATGTAAATGTCTATAATATAGTACTTCGTATGTATCTACTCCCTATTTTACAATTGTCAAAGTCACTCAATTTATGAAGTTGTTTGTCTTGCATTGTTTAATTTGCAGGAATTTTGGTGGGTGTGATCTTGGGATTGTTGAAGTGGACGTGATAATCAACCATAAAATTCAACTTCCATGAATTATTATTTGATCAGCATGGTTGTTGGTTGGCCACTTTAATTTGTTCTTGCATCTTACGTACATTTTTTTTTAAATGTAAAGGGCATATAAAATCATGAAAATGTAAAAATGCAAATTGTTGCTTGTTTAGGATGTTGTTTGTTTGTTTGTTTTGATTTTGGAAAATTTGTCAAATAGTTGCCTCCTATATCCACATCTGTCTATCTTATTTTAATACAATTCCACCTTGGCTATTAACCGTAGATCAAATCTGGCTTAAAAGTTGTTACTCTTAAGTCGTAACATAGCAAAACTGCACTTACACTATAACTCCGTAGTGTACAAATCTGTGTCATCAGAAGGGTAAATAAAGGGTCACATCTCAAATATTAAAAATGTTAATGCGTATTAATTTATATGTAAAAGTTTAGATAAAAAGATTATTTATACGAGTTAACCAAAATTATGATCATGCCTATACATGCATATATATGTGTGTATATATATATATATATATATATATATATATATATATATATACATATATATATATATATATATATATATATATATATATATATATATATATATATACCGATCAGGATCCTCTCTCATCCTCTCCCATAAGGCAGAGTGCCTTGCGGCATCCGACGGCGGGGAGGCGACCAGGACGACCTCGAGATCGGCGAAGGGGTGGTGGAGCCCAACATCTTCGGCCGTCCAATTCCCGATCTAACGGCCCGAAAGAGCCAGATACTCTGCCTTGCTTTAAAGCAATGCAGAGGCTCCGGATCCTATATATCCGGGCAATCGCGCGCAATTATAATGAGTACGTCAATTCAGACGATTTTTCCCAAAATAAAAGTAAAACAGGTGGTTTCAGGCACTACTTACTCGATCCTACTTTGGAGAAAACTAAGTACACCTAGCTAATTAAAAAATAAAAAATAAAAAATCATCGAACATAGAGTCATTAGTCATATACTTGTATTTAAAACAATGCCCGATATCATTTATACCACAAAGGGTCCAAATTCCAAAACATCTTGAATATGTTATTTTGGTTGTAGAGTACATTTTTTCATTCATCTTATCGAATCAAATTCGATATGCTTTTGTCCCTTTAAATTTTATGAACTTTCCTTTTTTAGTTTTAAAAACTTTACTATTTTTCTTTCAAATAATTAATTTGTAATTTTAATCATTTCACATGGCACTGAGCCACTGATCGACTTGACAAAATTATAAGCAATGAAGAAATATTTTCGTGTTTGAAATTCTATAATAACATATTTAATACAAGAATGAACTTTGTCTTTCCTCTTTAAAAAGATTGACCAGATATTTTAATTTATCCAAAATTTTATTTGAGAAAAACTGAAATCCGTGGGACATACAATCGGTTATTCCAAACTTTCAATCATTAATTAATTGATTAACAGGACAATCATATGACATTAATTATATCAAATGAATACCAACTCTTAAAAAGTTGAGGAATCGTATTGGACAAAAGATTAGTGTAGAGCTGCTATAGTAGGGAATAAGTACCTACTTTTCTAAAGCGTCACCACTTTTGGCAAGCATCAATTCTAGATCTTTATTTATTAAAGAGAAAATGGTTAAATAAAGTCTTTTATATATTATTATAGAAAGAAAAAAAATTCTATATATTATTATATATATTATTATAGAATCATCACATAAAGTCGTGTATTCAATAAAGTTTCATATAAATACGTCTACTTATAAAAAACAATCAGATGAGTCTTAACTACCCGTTGACAACTTCATAATCCTAAATTAAATTTAGCTTATGTGTCATTATTTTTGTCTTATATTTAAATCAATCCTAGCTCAATATTCCACGCCAACCTTATAATCTATTTTAAAAAGGTAGTCAGACGTACACACAAACCAGGATTAAGAGGCTGTCAACAAGTTTTTAGGATTCATCCAATTGTTTTTTATAAGTAGACGTATTTGTATGACACTTTATTGAGTACATGACCTCAAGTGATGATTTCATAATAGTAGAAGGCTTTATTCGATCATTTTCTCTTTATTAAATAATCATTACTATTAAGAGTAATTTTAGTTTGCACCCCATTTTATTGTCGAAATTAGACATTGCACCCGTTTTTAAATACTTACAGAGTATTTAATTACTAATGGATAGATATAGTAAAATTAAATGAATGCATTTATTATTATTATTTTGCAACTGAATATCAATAATAATTACTCCATCTTTTTATTAAACTTTGTTAACTTTATTTTTGCATGTCAAATTTTCATTTAAAGTAATAAATGTGTGGGTAAATCACTTTTCTCTCCTCTAATCTGCACAAATCTTAATAACATAATTTTTACTTTATATTTCACATGGAACTAATTATTATCATTGCCCTTTATATAATATGTGTATCTGAATTCATCACTCTTGAATATAATGTAACACTCTGTTTTGTATTTTAAAATTAGAACATTTCAGTTTTAATTATGTTATGTCCATTAATTAATGATGTATGTGTATGCTTCTAATATCTTTCTAATGAATTTATTTATATTTAATGTCTTCATGATGAATTTTATTTAATTTTTTTGTTATAATTTACAACCATTAATTAGGTTAGCACTTCATCATTGATGGTTATTAACTATTGAGATATTTATTTTGGAAGAAATATGGCTTATATTAAATCAACAGAACTTAAGCAAGTTACAAAACGATAAAAAGTCTTTTGTCTGCCGTATGCCCTCGAACCAGACTTAGAAACTAGCACCACCGTAGGAGCAATAAGATTCACTGATCCTATAATGGTTTTACATGAGCCAATGACGGGCAAACTAGACTTCTCATCACATGACTTAATTTCTAGAGTTTTTTTGCTAGTAACCAAAAACAAGACCAAAGCAACATTCAATTCGGAGTAAAAACAATACATAAAAAACAGAATAATCTAAAGAACCATAACTAATAGAAAAGATTTCTCAGACCCTAACACGTCGTTCAACTCATGGTGGTGGCTCATGAGCCTAGAAAACTGGCTTGCCTGTGCTGGTCCATTAGTTTCCCTGCCAGCTGTGGAAAGCCTTGTGGTGTACTTTCTGCAAGACCACAGTGAACAAGTAATTTTGAATTTCTTCCATTTGATTGAACAAGATGAACTAAGAACTGCATATGAAGTTCTTCTCCTTTTATAAAAAGTGTTTTTAACATTATATCTGATGAAGGAAATCTTGTATTGTTTGATATATGATAACAACTCTTAGGTAGCAGCATTAGTGCAAAAAGAGACGGATGGAATTCCAAACTATCCAAACCTGCCCTCCAAATTGATCTGCATGCTTCACAATGTCACCTTACATGTAAGCTTTCATAGCAACTCAAACCGTGGGTATTCCCTTGTTCTGGAAAATCACTTTGTATGAACATGTTTGTGATTTTCTCAATTCTTGAGAATTCCTGAAATTGAAGGCATCGCCTGCCTCCACTTTAATATGGGATTTGCTTAGTTTCCATGAATTGGGCGAATTCAGTTTAACTAAATGTCCATTAATATAATTCCCATTGATATAGAGTTTAGGCATTGGTGTAGTGAATTTGGATAAAAATGCTGAAGTTGTTAAGATTGTTGCTGGTGCTGATAAAGTTTCCAGTTTTTTTTTTTCAAATTGGAGATTTTATCATCTTCAAATTAAGAAAGAGTAACTAACTTTTCTGAAGCTTGTTTTAACCAAAGGTATCTCTACTTCTGATTTTTTTCATTTGTATCTCTCTTATATAAACACCAAGAGAATTTAGATATGTACAAACTAGTAAAAATGATGAACTTTGCCCCCCCCCCCCCCTCCCTCCCCTTGATGATGGAGTAAGCTCTTAAGGGGGTCTTTTAAAGTTCATCTTGCTTTAGAGGTTACTTTTTAGCAACAATATTTTGGTGCTCTCACATAAACATTATTCATTGTTGCTATCTAATGTAACTTGATTTTGTTGAAAAGGCACCAACAAGTAGAAAGCACTACAATCTCATGTTAAAGATCAACTGATTTAGTCATAGGTGAAGCTTATAGCAGTTAGAAGATCTCAAATTAGTTTGTTATAGATTTAGTTGAGTTTGTGTTTCGATGTGTATGACATTTGAATTGTAAATGATAATTGTTTTTTATTTTCAATAAAGCGCCTTTTGATTTTTCATACATTGTCATTTTTAATTTTCAAGTAATAATCTTATATTTCGTGTGTATAAATAATTATATATAAATATAAATATACAAATATATGATACTAATGTATCATATATTTAATTGATACTAATGTGTCAAAATATAAACTGATATTGTTTTGTCATAATTTTTTATGATACTTTAGTGTCATAAATTAGTGACACTTTATCAGTGACACTAAATTTAGTGTCACAATTCCCGACCTTCTATGACACTTTTTTAGTGTCAGAAAAACTCTTTGTGACACTTATTTAGTGTCAGTATAGACCATTTTTCTAGTAGTGTCATTAGGAGGCCGGATCATTACTACCATTGTGATTGATCTCCCGTCACCGGTCAAACTATGGTCCGCCATAGTCATCCCTATGTGCTTTTGCACGTCTCTGGCAACAGTCCTCGGTTGTAGTCCTCCGTACCAACCGGCCATGATTTGTGAAGCATGCAGAACACATCTCAATCCAATTGAGGGCAGAAAACACGACTCTGAAACCATATCGAACTCGGAGATCTCAATCCAATCCACCCAAGTAGAATCGGCTACGAAGGATCGCCCAAACTCGAGAGCTACGACTTTGTTCCCTTCAACTCCGACTTCAGTCTCCATGTCCACTAATAGTAGTGACACCAAACGATGGCTCTCTTGCTTAAAGAGAGAAGTGAAATCCGAGCAGCAAGATCGGAATGGTCGCATGCCTAAGCTATAGAAATACCTAGCCCTAGACCTGCTAGGGAGAGGACCGTAGTGCCAAAGAACTTCTAATTATTGAGATATTAAAAAAATAATTCATTATTAATGACAACAATTTTTCACTTCTTTTGACTCCAAATAGATTTCTATTTGGATCTCAACAATATTCTCTTTATATACTTCCTCTGTTCTTAAATAAATGCAACGGTCAACATTTCACATGCACTTGCCGAGACACAACTTTGACCATTAATATAAATGATTTTGTATTAGTAAAAAATTTAAAAAATTAGATTATGAAAATTTACAATGAGACAAGTTTAACAATATTTTTTTTCATAAAATAATATTAT